TATTTGACTTGCGACTTGACTTGGAGTTGAGGTCAAAGACTTGAGACATAGACTCTGTTTACATGAGAACACTTGTGTGTAAAAACGACTAAATATTTTATCAGAAGTGTCTTTCGTTTAGACGGTGACGGCGTTTTTGGGGCTTAAAAACACAAAAATCTGTAAAAGTTGAACACGCTCCACCGTAGTGTTTCCGTCTACACTGCCCAAGACGCAAAACTCTGGTCAGATCTGCTCAGGTCGTGTACACGTTTACGTCACAAACATCATCACAGGGTCGTCTGGCATCACACACAGTCCAGTTCCACACACTTTTGCGTCACCGTGTGCAGCAGATTTCCTCCTGAAAACACTCGACTAAACGGAAATAAAAAGTGAAGACACGACGCCGCGTTTACGTCTTCTGTTCAGATGTCATCAGACAAACGTAGCCTCAGTCACGATTTGCAAATCCCACCTCTGCCGTCTCATACATTTTCATAAAACTGAAAAGGCTTCCTACAATATTACATTTTGTTTTTTTTGTCGTTTTTTATTGTTTATTTCAATTCTGCACTGTTAAAAATGTACAAACACACACAGGTAATTCCAAGAAATACTAAAAAGGAGCAGAAAGAAGAAAAACAGTCTTATAATACACACCCTCTTTCTTAAAAATGAAAATAAAACACAAAGACAGGCCAACAGTACGACCCGAAACACACTTTTTAGACACTTTACAATTCAGTTTTTATTATTCAAGGCCTAACCATAACCCTGTGATTAAATCCTACGCTTAATCAGAACTTATACTTGTACTTTGGGCCACACGGTTTTAAAAAAGTTCAGTTTTTAACACAGAAAAATTCAGGTACAGTGATTATGTCGCCTGCAGAATGAACCAGAGATTTTTTATCACAATATAAACTTTTTAAATCTGTCACTTTTAGAGAAAAATAAACCCTGATATTTTTTATACAATTTCATCTTTGTCCAAGTCCATCACAGTGTAGAAGTTTGTGTCTGTCCTCCAATGTGGACTCAGGTCTGGTGTCTGGGGTCTGGTCTCAGCTTCTGGTCTCAGGTCTGGTCTGGTCTCAGGTCTGGTCTCAGGTCTGGTCTCACTTATGGTCTGAAGTCTGGTCTGGGGTCTTGTATGATGATCTGGTCTGAGGTCTGGTCATGGGTCTGGTTTCCGATCTGGTCCGGGGTCTCAAGTCTGGTCTGGGGTCTAGTCTCAGGTCTGGTCTGTGGTCAGGTCTGGTTTGGGGTCTGAGATATGGTCTGAGGTCTGGTCTCAGGTCTGGTCTGTGGTCTCAGGTCTGGTCTGTGGTCTCAGGTCTGGTCTGGTCTCGTGGTCTGGTGGTCTGTGGTCTGGTCTGGTCTGGTCTGTGGTCTGGTCTGTGGTCTGGTCTGTGGTCTGGTCTGGTCTGGTCTGGTCTGTGGTCTCAGGTCTGGTCTGTGGTCTCAGGTCTGGTCTGTGGTCTGGTCTGTGGTCTCAGGTCTGGTCTGTGGTCTCGGGTCTGGTCTGTGGTCTGGTCTGTGGTCTGGTCTGTGGTCTCGGGTCTGGTCTGTGGTCTGGTCTGTGGTCTCAGGTCTGGTCTGTGGTCTCTGGTCTGTGGTCTCAGGTCTGGTCTGTGGTCTGTGGTCTCGGGTCTGTGGTCTCAGGAGGTGGAGTCTTTGAGGTAGGCGATCAGATCTTCTCTTTCTCTTTTCTTCTTGATTCCGCTGAAGATCATCTTGGTTCCTGGGATGTATTTTTTGGGGTTGGCGAGATAAATCCGCAGAGTCTCCTCGTTCCACGTGATCCCTAAAAAAACAAAACAAAACAAAACAGAAGAGTCAGAGAGTCCAAAGTTTTGGTTCACGTAAAATCACAACAATGTCGAAGATTAAAACCAAAACTTCAAATATTTAGATCAACATGTTCCTTTTATTGTTTTGAAAACGCTGTATTCAACCAAAACTACTTTTTAACTTGTTTTATTTATGTTTCACTTGATGCTCTGAGTCTCTCTTCTCTTTGCTCCCCACACTAAGTCACTCCCCCTTCAGAGCATCATCACACACACTCGTTGTGTGTCCCACTAATGAAACTCCTGCACGTCACGTCAGGTTTTTCCAGTTGCTGTGGACAGTTTTGTATCACGGAGGCTTGTGGGCGGAGCCTCGTACTGAATATTACAGCTAACCATAAGGAGGGTTTGAATAGGGCCTGGGAGAGATCGCTAGATTACTCAAACATGCATGGAGGACATATTCAAGGACGTTGCCATTTGGAAGCTTTAAGAACAAATGCCCAGAATGATCAATAATGCAGAATTTATCAGTATGATTCACTTTATTTCCTAAACAAATACACCGAACATGAAAGTTAAAATAATAAAAATAATTTTAAAAGGTTAATAAATAAATATCAGCACCATTATTATTATAAACAAAGATTTGTACAATGACAGAACACTGAACTGAACATTATAAACACAGAACAAGTACATAATAATAATAATAATAATAATAATAATAATAATCATCATCATCATCAGTTTTATATTGTTTTTATATTGAGTTTTTCTGGACACTGACACTTTACAGAGCATTATTCATTCATTTATTATTATTTTTATTTATTTAATGAAACATTACACATGAACCTTAACAGGAGAGATGTTTGTACATCAGGTTGTAGTTCCAGTTGATTGTATTTATTGTCATTGATTGATTATTTTTAATTGATCTTCTCTATCATGTGTTTTTCCTGGAGACCTGTGACATGTTTTGGGCTGATGGAGGAAACCGGAGCAGCCAGAGGAAACTCACCCACACACGGGGAGGAACATGCAAACTCCACACAGAAAACTACTAGTGCAGTCACAGCTGGTCTGGGGCAGACTGACAGAAACAAGGCTGCCAATCTGCACCATTGGTCCCTCCGACCATCACTCACACACACCACTTTTATTTATTTATTTATTTGTTTGTTTGTTATTTATTTATTTGTTTGTTTGTTTGTTGTTTTTTTGTGACTGGCGCCCTCTGTGGCTCCTGATTTTCCCAGTGTCTCCTGTCCAAGTCCTGACAGGCCCGACCCTGCTGATCTTCTGGGGTCTGTCTGACAGGAGGATGGTCACAAATATATTCCCTTGTTAAAAATAATATGCACTTTTTTTTTTTTTTGGTAAATAATGTACATAAATACAAATAACTGCACCATAGAATTTACTCAATCAAGGAACTTTAAATAAATCTCTCTGCTGCATGAGAGGAGGTGCAGACACTGAGGAGGAGAGAAGAAGAGGAAGAGGCAGAGAAAGAGATTTCGGGGGATTCTGTTCACACTGGCAGCAGCTGCTCACCTCTCATTATTCATTATTCTCTTCAGCCCTGCACCTCCTCTGGACTCACTCGTCTGGACTCACTCGTCTGGACTCACCCTTCTGGACTCACTCTTCTGGACTCAGTCGTCTGGACTCACCCTTCTGGACTCGCTCCTCTGGACTCGCTCGTCTCTGACTCACCCTTCTGGACTCACTCGTCTGGACTCACCCTTCTGGACTCACTCGTCTGGACTCACCCTTCTGGACTCGCTCCTCTGGACTCGCTCGTCTGGACTCACCCTTCTGGACTCACTCACTCGTCTGGACTCACTCGTCTGGACTCACTCGTCTGGACTCACCCTTCTGGACTCACTCCTCTGGACTCGCTCGTCTGGACTCACCCTTCTGGACTCACCCTTCTGGACTCACTCGCTCCTCTGGACTCACTCGTCTGGACTCACTCCTTCTGGACTCACTCGTCTGGACTCACCCCTTCTGGACTCACTCCTGTGGACTCCTGACTCGTCTGGACTCACTCGTCTGGACTCACTCTCTGGACTCACCCCTCTGGACTCGTCTGGACTCATCTCGTCTGGACTCACCCGTCTGGACTCACCCGTCTCACTCGTCTGGACTCACTCTCGTCTGGACTCACTCTCTGGGACTCACTCTGGACTCACTCGTCTCTCACTCTGGACTCATCTCTGGACTCACTCGTCTGGACTCACTCGTCTGGACTCACTCGTCTGGACTCACTCCTCTGGACTCACTCGTCTGGACTCACCCTTCTGGACTCACTCGTCTGGACTCACCCTTCTGGACTCACTCCTGTGGACTCGCTCGTCTGGACTCACTCCTCTGGACTCACTCGTCTGGACTCACTCGTCTGGACTCACTCATCTGGACTCACTCCTCTGGACTCACTCGTCTGGACTCACTCGTCTGGACTCACTCGTCTGGACTCACCTTCTGGACTCACTCATCACTCACTCTCTGGACTCACTCCTCTGGACTCACTCCTCTGGACTCACTCTGGACTCACTCGTCTGGACTCACCCTTCTGGACTCACTCTGGACTCATCTGGACTCACTCCTCTGGACTCACTCTCTCTGGACTCACTCGTCTGGACTCACTCGTCTGGACTCACTCGTCTGACTCACCCTTCTGGACTCACTCTCTGGACTCGTCTGGACTCACCCTTCTGGACTCACTCGTCTGGACTCACTCGTCTGGACTCACCCTTCTGGACTCACTCGTCTGGACTCACTCGTCTGGACTCACTCGTCTGGACCTCACTTCGACTCAACTCGTCTGGACTCACTCGTCTGGACTCATCTCTGGACTCACCCTTCTGGACTCACTCGTCTGGACTCACTCGTCTGGACTCGCTCGTCTGAACTCGCTCTTCTGGACTCACTCGTCTGGACTCACTCGTCTGGACTCACTCGTCTGGACTCACTCTGGACTCACGTCTGGACTCACTCGTCTGGACTCACCCTTCTGGACTCACTCGTCTGGACTCACTCGTCTGGACTCACCCTTCTGGACTCACTCGTCTGGACTCACTCGTCTGGACTCACCGTCTGGACTCTCTGGACTCACTCGTCTGGACTCACTCGTCTGGACTCACCCTTCTGGACTCACTCGTCTGGACTCACTCGTCTGGACTCACTCGTCTGGACTCACTCGTCTGGACTCACTCGTCTGGACTCACCCTTCTTGACGTTGGCCTCGGTGTAGCTGTACCCGGGGGCCTGTCCCGTCTTCCTCCCGAACAGGCCCCACAGGTTGGGCCCCACCTTGTGCCGTCCGCCCTCCTCCACCGTGTGGCACTGCGCACACTTCTTCACGAACGTCGCCTTGCCCTTTTTTATGTCTCCCATCGTCAAAGCCTGAGGAGAGACACACAGAGAGCCACGCTGAGAGGAAAAACAAGAGACAAACCTTCTGTTTCACAATCTGAGCGTGAGGTTATGTCAGGTATCGACTTTATAATTCCTGCAGGGGAAAATAATAAATAAAATATGTTAAAGATAATGCACCTGTTGGAACATAACACCTGATTTAAAGATTCAGCTGCTTCACATACAACGTTCCACACACAGAGAAACAAAACATAATAAAGAACAGAGACAGAGACACAAACTGGAAAATACCGAGTCCCAAAAAATTTGACATCAATTCGCAGGACAATCATTTTGGCAGTTCTTCTTGAAATAACCTCAAATTTTCACAGAATGTATAAAAACAGATCAAGATTTAGTATTTAGTACATTTTATTTTTGTTCTATTTTCAGGTTGAGCCGTGTCATCTTTTTGAGTCTTGGAATCTGCTCGCACACGATCACCCAAGACTGTGCAGATTTTTCCAAATTTTCAATGCAGAATTTGAAGTTTTTTTTTCAAAAGCTGCACGGTCTCGGGTGAATGCGTACGAGACCAAGACGCAAAATCACTTCTCTTTGGCAGTGAACGGCTCAACCCGAAAACAGAACAAAAATAAAACATTAAATATAGAATCTTGATCTGTTTCTAAACATTCTGTGAAAACTTTAGGTTATTTCAACAAAAATATCCTACTGAACATCAGGTCCCACATATGTTTTTTGTAAGTGTTGCTGATTTTGTTTTACCTTGTTCAAACAAATAATTCAATTCAATTCAAGTTTATTTCTATAGCAAATTTAAAACAGTTTAGCTGAACAAAGGGCTTCAGATACAAGTCAACAAACTGTTTCTCATATACAGATGTACAGAAAACATGTGAAAACTACAATAAAACTCCAAGATCGTACTAAACTCCAGGGAGAAGAGGTGAGTTTTCAGTCTCGTGTTAAACTGCGTCACAGACTGAGAGGATCTGACAGGAAGAGGAAGGTTGTTCCACAGAAAAGCCTCCGTCTCCTCTCGACCTGAGCAGAGTTTTGTTCTCGACCAACAGGAGCTGGTCTGATCTCAGGGCTCTGGGCGCAGTGTTGTGGAGTAACAGATTACATGTACCAGAGTTACGTAATCAGAGTACAAATGATGAGTAACTGTATTCAGTTACAGTTACTGTTTCAGTGAGTGGTAATTGGATTACAGTTACTTTGCTGAAATAAATGGATTACACACACACTCTTGGGCTCGGTAATTCCACTCATTGCCGGACACTAAATCACACGAAATCTCAAACCAGGACTAAACCAGGTCTAAATTAGATCTAAACCAGGTCTAAACTAGATCTAAACCAGGTCTAAACCAGGACTAAACAAGGACTAAAATCAAGTCTAAACCAGGACTACACCAGGTCTAAAACCAGGTCTAAACCAGGACTAAAAGCAGGTCTAAACTAGATCTAAACCAGGTGTAAATTAGATCTAAACCAGGTCTAAACCAGGTCTAAACCAGGACTAAACAAGGACTAAAATCAAGTCTAAACCAGGACTACACCAGGTCTAAAACCAGGTCTAAACCAGGACTAAAAGCAGGTCTAAACTAGATCTAAACCAGGTCTAAAAACCAGGTCTCAAGACTAAACAAGGACTAAAATCAAGTCTAAACCAGGACTACACCAGGTCTAAAACCAGGTCTAAACCAGGACTAAAAGCAGGTCTAAACTAGATCTAAACCAGGTCTAAACCAGGTCTAAACCAGGACTAAACAAGGACTAAAATCAAGTCTAAACCAGGACTACACCAGGTCTAAAACCAGGTCTAAACCAGGACTAAAAGCAGGTCTAAACTAGATCTAAACCAGGTGTAAATTAGATCTAAACCAGGACTAAACAAGGACTAAAATCAAGTCTAAACCAGGACTAAAAGCAGGTCTAAACTAGATCTAAACCAAGTGTAAATTAGATATAAACCAGGTCTAAACCAGGTCTAAAACCAGGACTAAACAAGGACTAAAATTCAAGTCTAAACCAGACTAAACACCTAGGTCTAAAACCAGGACTAAACCAGGACTAAAACCAGGTCTAAAACATGTCTCAAACAGGATTTAACAGGACCAGGCCGTGCGGACTGTGTTTCCTCTTCTTCTATCCATAATATTTTTAATTTGGTTCAGTAAAGTCTGGACTTTTTCTTTTCTTTTATCTGACCAAAACATCTTACGTTGCAATATCCTGGTCTTTGCTTCTCTACAACAAATCGAGTAATCCAAAGTATTCAGATTACATTACTCACTTTCAGTAATTTAATGGATTACGTTACAAACTACATTTTGGAGTATGTAATCTGTAATCTGTAGGGGATTACATTTTAAAAGTAACACTCCCAACACTGTCTGGGTGGAGGACAGAGCTGCAGAAACTCCCTCAAATCGACTGGACCCATGGAGTGCAAACAAATAAATAAAATGAAATGTAAAAAATGAAGAATTGTCAAAACTACTGACCTGCACAATGTCAGTTTTTTGGGACACACTGTGTAATGGGCAGTTTGTCATATCAGATAAACAAAAAATAATAATACATTTCCTTCCAGACTCAAAGGTGGTAACGTACTGTTGTAGCCACAGCTGCCCTGGGACAGACTGACAGACGATCAATCAGTCAATCATTCACTCCAAATTTCTCTGATCTGGTCAAGATTTTAAAATTTATATCAGATTATTCGTGTTGTTTTCAGATTTATTATCGACTTACAGTGTTGGGAGTGTTACTTTTAAAATGTAATCCCCTACAGATTACAGATTACATACCCCAAAATGTAGTTTGTAACGTAATCCATTAAATTACTTAAAGTGAGTAACGTAATCTGAATACTTTGGATTACTTGATTTGCCGTATTAAAAATATTGTTGATAGAAGAAGAGGAGACACGTCCATGATTTAGTCCTGTTTAATCCTGTTTTAGATCCGATTTAGTTTAGACCTGGTTTAGACCTTAGTTTAGACCTTTTAGACCTGTTTAGACCTGTTTTAGACCTGTTTTAGACCTGGTTTTAGACCTTTTTGTTTTACCTTTTAGACCTGTTTTAGACCTGTTTTAGACCTGTTTTAGACCTGTTTTAGTTTTAGACCTGGTTTTAGTCCTGGTTTAGTCCTGGTTTAGACCTGTTTTAGACCTGTTTTAGACCTGTTTTAGACCTGTTTTAGACCTGTTTTTAGACCTGTTTTAGACCTGTTTTAGACCTGGTTTAGACCTGTTTTAGTAGACCTGTTTTAGACCTGGTTTTAGACCTGTTTTAGACCTGTTTTTAGTTTTTACCTGTTTTAGACCTGGTTTTAGACCTGTTTTACCTGGTTTTAGACCTGTTTTAGACCTGGTTTTAGACCTAGATTTTAGACCTGTTTTAGACCTGTTTTAGACCTGTTTTAGACCTGGTTTAGACCTGTTTTAGACCTGGTTTTAGACCTGTTTTAGACCTGTTTTAGCTCTAGTTAGACTTGGTTCTGGCAATGATTGGAATTACCGAAAACAAACAAACAAAAAAAAAAAAAAAAAAAAGAAAAACAAAAGGCAGATTTAGCCCAAAATGTGAAAAAAGGAAAACAGGTAAATCCCTCTGTGTAATCCATTTATCTCAACAAAGTAACTGTAATCCAATTACCACTCACTGAAACAGTAACTGTAACTGAATACAGTTACTCATCATTTGTACTCTGATTACATAACTCCAGTACATGTAATCTGTTACTCCACAACACTGTCGACTTATAGTTCTGAGATGCTTCATTCTCGTCTGGAGGTCGTTTATTTTAAGAGAACTTGTCAAGTAAAATGATGATGCATCATTTTCAGATAAATTTAAATGTTTATAGCTTAAATTTTGGGCAAACTTTTTTGCAGTGTTCAAACAGCTTCAGATTCTTACACTGCAAAAAACAAAATCTAGTCAAGTTAAAATGACTTGAATTAAGAAAGTTTTATCATGATTTGAGTAAATTTCACTTGACAAGTACAATTTTCTGCCAGTGGAACAAGACCTTTTGTACTTAAATTATGAAAATACATCTTGTTACACTTAAAATAAGAAAAACAACAACTTTTTGCACTTAAAATAAGAAACAAAGTGATACGTTGCTTGAATTAAGAAAAACACACTTATTCCACTGGTTGATCATTTGACTTGTCGAGTTGAATCGACTCAAATGAAGCAAAAAGTTCTTAGTTTAAGTCATTTTAACTCACTGAGATATTGTTGTTGTTGTTTTTTTCCAGTGCACTCGGAAAGCATGAGTGAAGTGTCTTGCCTAAGGACACAAAAATAGTATGCACCGTAGAACCGCTGCTGCTCCAGAGTCTCACCCGAGTCCGGACCAGACGAGACCAGACGAGATTCAAAAAGTTTTATGAGCGGAAATGAAAAGTTATTAAAGAAGTGACAGAATCCAAACAGTTTTCATTTCCTCTCCTCTGCTCTTTTTAGCTCTTTAGATTTAAACCTGCAGGATTATCTAACTACACAGACTCTAGAGAACAGTGTATATACAGTCCTGAGTGTTAAAATAAGTGTTAGACAAGAGTAAACACTGAAGGAGTCTCTTGTCGTTCTCTTTCAGACTTGTTTTGACTCATCCCACTGGCACCTCGCACTCTGTTTCTCTCTGTTTCTCTCTGTTTCTCTCTGTTTCTCTCTGTTTCTTACCTGAACTCAGCCCCAGGTTCTTTCTTCTGCTCGTCTTTCAGAATCTAACCTCCGTCTGTCAGAGTTTTGATCCTCTCCGTTCAGAATCCTCGCTTTTGTTTTGGTTCGTAGCAGGTCCCATGTACAGACGAGAGTGTTGGAGTGAAATGTTGAAGTTCTGTCGCGCGGGAGCCACGCCCCTGCGGCTTTACTGCACACAGCGCAGGTATGTGAGTAATGTTCCACAGTACATGAGGAGTACTACAGTAACATTACTGCGCGTTTACTCACAGGAGGGAGGAGCACATGTATACGGTCCACTTAAGTGTTCTGTTACTATGAAAACAGTTTGCTCATGATTAAAATCTCCTGTGAATGACAAAAGAAAGAGTCAAAGTACATGAAAAAATAAAAGTTTCTTCATTCAGTACGGAGAAACTGATTTAATCTAAAGTCAAAGTGTTTAAATAAAACCTCATGAGGCAAAATTAAGAAAGTTTGATCATGATTTGAGTAAATTTCACTTTTAAGGTCCAAACTGGTTTTCTATCAAAGGAGTTTGAAGTGGTGGGTGGGAGGAGCCAAATTAACACTAAGTGAAGTTGAATTAACACTAAAGGAATTTGAGTTAAAGGTTGTATGGACGATTTTTTTTTTAGTTTGAAATTGTCAGTGAAAGTTAAAATACCATTACAGAGACGCAGCAGCCTTGTAATTATGACCAAAAAAAAAAAAAGAATGAAAATCCATCAACTGTGGACGTAGTGAGGCCAGATAAACATCAGCCAATAGACAACAAGGCTGCCTCATTTTCTATTGGCTGTTCGGTTGTCATTCAAACTCCCTACGTTTCTAGTGTAACTGACTTGCGGCGTGCGAGGATTACGTGGTTTATGCGGTGGTTCTTAGAGGATTTTTTACACTGTCGCTTCCTCGCAGTTCGCACAAAGTTTGTCGCGATGTCGGACGAGAATCCACGACCGGTTCGCCGCAAAAGAAAGTCCGTTTTTGAGGTCGCCGAAAGAAGAAAAGAAGGGGAAAAGGAGCAAAGCCAAACTGAGGTGATTCTTGGAGATCTCGTCCAGCGATGGCGCGACTGAAGCAACTGACGTGTCGGTCGCTCAATTATTTGTAGGCAACAGTAATTCTGAACGCGCACTAGATGTAAACAAGCGTGATTTCTAGAGTCAGGAGGCGGGAGGAGGTGTTTCTACTGAGGGAGCGGTGGAGGAGGAAGGCGGCGTCACACGTGCACAACATTTGAAAAAGAACGGTCGCTGTATTTCTCTTCCCTTAAAAAAATCCTCTATACAACCTTTAACACTAGAGAAAGTTGAATTAACTCTAAAATGATCTGTCCATTCATCTATTTTCTTCCTCTTATCCGGGGTCGGGTCGTGGGGGCATCAGTCTAAACAGGGACTCCCAGACTTCCCTCACCCCAGACACTTCCTCCAGCTCCTCCGGGGGGACCCTGAGGTGTTCCCAGGCCAGTCCAGAGACACAGTGGTGTGGATGGAGGATTTGGCCTCTGTGTGGAGACATCAGGTGCTCTGTATGACTAAGGCCGTACTGAGCCAGTCTAACCATGTTCTGCACTCACAGTTCATGAAAATGTCCTCTGGGAGGCGCCATGTCACCCACAACAAAAGACTAACTGCTACACCAAATCTTTTATTTCCTCCGCCAAGGAGGTTTTGTTTTTGCTGGCGTTTGTCTGTTTGTTTGTTTGTCTGTTTGTTTGTTTGTTTGTCTGTTTGTTTGTTTGTTTTGTCTGTTTGTTTGTTTGTCTGTTTGTTTGTTTGTTTGTTTGTCTGTTTGTTTGTTTGTTTTGTTTGTTTGTTTGTTTGTTTGTTGTTTGTTTTTGTTTGTTTGTTTGTCTGTTTGTTTGTTTGTTTGTCTGTTTGTTTGTTTGTTTCTTTGTCTGTTTGTTTGTTTGTCTGTTTGTTTGTTTGTTGTTTGTCTGTTTGTTTGTCTGTTTGTTTCTTTGTCTGTTGTTTGTTTGTTTGTCTGTTTGTTTGTTTGTTTGTCTGTTTGTTTGTTTGTTTCTTTGTCTGTTTGTTTGTCTGTTTGTTTCTTTGTCTGTCTGTTTGTTTGTCTGTTTGTTTGTTTGTTTGTCTGTTTGTTTGTTTGTTTCTTTGTTTGTTTGTTTGTTTGTCTGTTTGTTTGTTTGTTTGTTTGTTTTTGTTTGTTTGTTTGTTTGTTTTTGTTTGTCTTTTGTTTGTTTCTTTGTCTGTTTGTTTGTTTGTTTGTCTGTTTGTTTGTTGTTTGTTGTTTGTTTGTCTTTTGTCTGTTTGTTTGTCTGTTTGTTTGTTTGTCTGTTTGTTTTTGTTTCTTTGTCTGTTTGTTTGTTTGTTTGTCTGTTTGTTTGTCTGTTTGTTTGTTTCTTTGTCTGTTTGTTTGTTTGTTTGTCTGTTTGTTTGTTTCTTTGTCTGTTTGTTTGTTTGTTTGTCTGTTTGTTTGTTTGTCTGTTTGTTTGTTTGTTTGTTTGTTTGTTTGTTTGTCTGTTTGTTTCTTTGTTGTCTGTTTGTTTGTCTTTGTTTTGTTTTGTCTGTTTGTTTGTTTGTTTGTTTGTTCTGTTTGTTTGTTTGTTTCTTTTCTGTTTGTTTGTTTGTTTGTTTGTTGTTTGTTTGTTTGTTTGTCTGTTTGTTTGTCTGTTTGTTTTGTTTGTCTGTTTGTTTGTTTGTTGTTTGTCTGTTTGTTTGTTTGTTTGTCTGTTTGTTTGTTTGTTTGTTTGTCTGTTTGTTTGTTTGTTTGTTTGTTGTGTCTGTTTGTTTGTTTGTCTGTTGTTTTGTTTGTCTGTTAGCAACATAACTCAAAAAGTTATGGACCGATTTTTGATGAAATTTTCAGGATTTGTTGGAAATGTGAAAAGGAAGAAACTGATTTCATTTTGGGGCTGATCCGGAAGAAATCCTGGATTCTGGATCACTTTGAAATTTTAGTTAACATTGTGGTAAATGGGGCCAAAAATTTTGTTTCTCAATATCTCGGTTAATTATTGACCAAACCCCATGAAATTTGTGACTCAGGGATGGACAATGGGATCCTCTTTCATATTCCAAAGGCTGATCCGGATCTGATCCAGAAGACTGATTTTATCGCAATTTATATAAAAAATGGGGGTAGTCCTTGGCGGAGGTCTGCGCTCTCTGACTGCTTTTCTAGTTCCTTCTGCCATAAGGATTTTAAATGGAAAGTGAATTTACTATTGTGTCCCTGATGCAGTGAGGTTTGAATGTGCAGTGTCTGTTTTTCTTTTTCTTTTATTATTTATAGATTGTGCGTGACCAGAGATGTGCAAACTGAATTGCCCTTTGGGATTAATAAAGTTGCAGATTGATTGATTGATTGACTGATAGTCCCTCCAGTGTGTCCTGGGTCTTCCCCGGGGCCTCCTCCCTGTCGAACATGAACACCTCCTGAGGGAGACGCCCAGGAGGCATTTATTTATTTATTTTATATATATATATATATATATATATATATATATATATATATAATATATTTATATTATTTATTTTATTTATTTATTTATTTAATGAGACAGAGACATGCACAGTTTACATGAACCTTCACAGGAGAGATGTTTGTTCCAGGTTGTAGCTCCAGTGTTAATTTCCACCTGATTGACTGATTGTTTTTAACTGACCTTGACTATCAGCTGTTCTTCCTGGAGACCTGTAGCATGTTTTGGGTTCAGAACAGACGTCCTCCCCTCAGCCGCTCCTCTCCATGTGGAGGAGCAGCGGCTCTACCCCGAGCTCCTCCCGTGTGACTGAGCTCCTCACTCTGTCTCTAAGGGAGCAGAGACACCCTGTGGAGGAAACTCATTTGTGTCGCTTGTATCGTTGATCTGGTCCTTTTGGTCATTACCCAGAGCTCATGACCAGAGGTGAGGGGAGAGTGACCACATCACTGCCGACGCTGCACCTGTCCACCTGTCAATCTCACGCTCCGTCCCCCCCTCACTCCAGAACAAGACCCCGAGATACTTGAACTCCTCCACTTGAGGCAGAGACTCTTCACCTGGAGACGACAAGACGCCTTTTTCCAGTCGAGAACCACGACCTCGGAGTTGGAGGAGCTGATCTTCATCCCAGACGCTTCACACTCGGGTCAAACCGCCCCAGAGCTGCAGGTCCTGGTCTGATGAAGCCAACAGGACGACATCATCTGTGAACAGCAGAGATGATCCTGTGGTCCCCAAACCGGCCCCCGTCCGGCCCCTGATGCACCGAGAAACTCTGTCCATAAAAACAATGAACAGAACCAAACTACTGTTCTGTTTATTGGAACAAGAGTTTTTGTACTTAAAATATGAAAATACATCTTGTTATATTTAAAACAAGAAACAAAATGTAATGTAATGTAACACACTGGCAAATAGTTTTACTTGTCGAGTTGAATCTAACTCAAATAAAGTCAATTGTTCTTAATTAAAGTCATTTGAACTTAGATTTGTTTTTTTGTTTTTTGTTTTTTCAGTGTGGTGAGGACGACACCAGCAGGAGAATATTATGTTTTGGGTTGATGGAGTCCAGACTCCACACAGACGCTCCATCCTTGAAGTGGAGTTGAACCTGCAACCTTTAGTGAATCAGCCAAATACAATGAGGTGAAAAATGATGTAAGATTTTCTCTGTTTAAGTCTTAAATAAAAGTAACAAACACAGAGACATGTTCAGTCCAACAACTGATGTAAAGTCAAACTATATCTCACTGTACTTTTATATCAGACCTCTGCTCTAGTAGTAGTAGTAGTAGTAGTAGTAGTAGTAGTAGTAGTAGTAGTAGTAGTAGTAGTAGTAGTAGTAGTAGTAGTAGTAGTAGTAGTAGTAGTAGTAGTAGTAGTAGTAGTAGTAGTAGTAGTAGTAGTAGTAGTAGTAGTAGTAGTAGTAGTAGTAGTACAGTAGTAGTAGTAGTAGTAGTAGTAGTAGTAGTAGTAGTAGTAGTAGTTAGTAGTAGTAGTAGTAGTAGTAGTAGTAGTAGTAGCAGTAGTAGTAGTACGTAGTAGTAGTAGTAGTAGTAGTAGTAGTAGTAGTAGTAGTAGTAGTAGTAGTAGTAGTTAGTAGTAGTAGTAGTAGTAGTAGTAGTAGTAGTAGTAGTAGTAGTAGTAGTAGTAGTAGTAGTAGTAGTAGTAGTAGT